TAAAATCCATACCAATGCAAATTATTCATATCTATATCATATCCCCCTTTAAGTGTATAAAAACAGTTATAAACAATATTTGGGAATATGGGCACAATTTTTTCTCTTCAAACTGCTTCGCGCTGTATGGCGGCGCTGTTAATCAGGTGCTTTTTGGTTTATCCTTTGTGTTAGGTTCATCTCAGTCAGCAGTTGGGTGAAGTAATTTTCTGAGGGTGTTTACAGCAACCTTTCAGGAGGGCATGGTTTATCATTCCATATTGGTCTAGAAGCAATCCACAGGGTCTCATCTTCTGTGAAAACAAAAGAACCTCTTTTCCAAAGCATCATATCCTTAGACCCAAATTCTGAAGTCTTAATACTTTTATAATATACATGTTAGATTAGCTTAGCAGCACATACAATGAAAAGTCTCTCTGTACTTAGCTCCTTCACAGTCAAAAAATTTAAAGAAAACAACAATATACAGAATCCAGACTCTCTGTGGATTTTCCATTTTTACATGGCTTATTTTATTTCTCTTAATCTATAACTATCTGTACTCTGTCTCTTTAAAGACTTTACCCCCTTTTTTAAAGCACTAACTTTTTTATGACTTTTTATACTCTCCCAAGCCTACATACATTTATTTATTTAGAGGTTGTTTATGTCTGAATCTGTCCTTATTACATTGTCTGTAGTTCTCTACTGTCTAGAAGAGCTTTTAAAATGCTAAGCAGCTTGGTTGCAGCTGCGCTGTATGCTCCATCTCTCTCCAATTTCAAAATGGTGTTTGTACCATTTCTGCTAGCTCTGGGGCCGCCAGGTAGGAGCCACGCTCAGCACTTTAACTCTGAGAATGAGCGAGCAGCACGTAAAATCTTTTTATCTGAGTTACAGCCAAATCTGCCATGCAGAGCACTGTGCAGCCTGGAAACATCAATACATCAAATACAGAAGGACCTCCTACACCACCTCGGCATCAGTGTGTACTAGACTCCTTATTTTCAGTTTCTCTATAACCTAGAACCATTTTCACAAAAGCAGAATGCCACTTGGAGTTTATTTTCTTTAAATATGCCTATTGCCCATTCTGCACATCAGTTCTTGGTTCTTGTCACTTACATTTGTTGACCAAAATATGTGTTGAAATGGAGCAGAAAATTGGTAGAGGCAGTGGCCAAGTATTCCAACATAGCAATATCTTGAGCATTGTAAAACACATTTGAAAGCTTAAATCTCACTGAGTGTGGTGGGAAAGCCTTTAATCCTAGCACTCAGGAGGCAGAGGTAGGCAGAGCCCTGTGAGTTCCATACCAGCCTGCATATTGAGTTGCAGGATAGCCAGGGCTACATAGTAAGACCCTGTTCAAAAACAAAACAACTAAAAACAAAAACAAACAGAAACCCCAAACAAACGTAAATTTCACCTGTTTATTTTTTTAAATATGCCACCTAGTAAGTTTTTTGCTTTTATGATAGCTAATTGAAAACAATTCAATATGTTAACAGAATGCTTACTTTTGTTAAATATAAATATATACAAATATATCAAGAATACATCAGATTGGAAAAAAATATAGATAGAACCTGTTCATAGCTGGATATGGTAGTTTATGTCTGTGCTCCTGGCACTTAGAAGGAAGAGACAGAGGTGGGGAGGCTGGTACAAGTTTGAGACCTGCCTGGTCTGCATACATAATCAAGTTCTGGGCTGGACAAAGTCACATAGTGAGACCTATTTTAAAACAAAACAAACATAAAAGCAAACAAATAAAAACGAGCTAGAGAGATGGCTCAGAAGTTGGAAGCCCTGGCTGCTTTTCCAGAGGACCTGTGTTTCATTCCCAGCACCCACCCACGTGGCAGCTCACAACCATTCCAGTTCCAGGGGTCTGACACCCTCACAGACACACATGCAGGCATGCATAGATAGATGGATAGATAGATGATAGATAGATAGATAGATAGATATCATTTAGAAAAAGACAAAGTACACATGCCACACGTAGACACACACACAAAGAAAGAACAGACTATTTGAGACACAGAAATAGTCTTTTGGCATATGTAAGCAGAAATTGCATTATGTAGAGGAGCCATAATAAATTAGAAATGTATGCATCTAAAGCTTTTTATCTGTTCTTCAGAGAAAGGCTGGGATTGGTATGTGTGTGAAGGTTTTCAGTGCATACTTTACCACCAGGCGGAGGCCCTGAAGACCCTTGGAGTAGGCCCAGAGCTAAAGGTAAGTCATATGTGTCTAGATGTTGGCTCCTTGTTGTTTGAAGTGTGAGATTTGAGTAGACCCGGGGAGGAATCCGCAGGAAGAGCCGGCTCTGGCCCTGACTAGAAGTGTAGTCATGGATAAATTGTTTCCTTTCTGTGATCCAGATTGTGTAAAAGAATAGGCTCTGTGGTTATCTTAATGTCTATCTATTCCTTCCCCTAACTCCAAGATTTAGAAGTATCTCTTGAGGACTATATTTAGTCTCCTGCGCTGGGAAACAAAGTTTCCCATTTATTGATTCAGTGTCCCCATGTACCTGATAAGGGAAAGCAGGTGAGAAGGCATTTGATTGGAGGTGACCTGCACAGGAGGACAGCGTGTGTGGTAGAGATGTGACTGTGTTTGCCATCATGATGACGCACCCCTTGCTTCCCTTCTACCTTAGGACAAAGTTTTACACAATTTTTGGAAGCGTTATCTTCAGAAGAGCAAGCAGGCCTATTGTAAAAACCCAGTTCGTACAAGCAGAAAGAAAGCCAAGGTGAGCCATGGAGCAAAATCCGCCTGTGTGGCAGACAGAGGTGCTGTGTGTGGCTTCCTGTCTGACTGTGGTCAGTGTTTATAGGTTTTTGGGGAAGAGGCTTCTGGTGCAATCTGGAATGATCCCGACTTCACAGTGAATTGGGGCTGTTTATTAAACCATTTGGAACATTCAGGCATTTAAAGTTCCGCTTCCGTTTTAAAGTTTTTGTTGGTTCTTTTTGTTTTTTTTTTTTTTTTTGAGTCAGGATCTTACTCCATAGTCCAGGCTAGCCTTGTACTCCAAGTAATCCACCTGCCTCAGCTTTTCAAGTGCTAGGATTACAGCCACAATACCCAGCTCACTCAGAACTTTCCAGAATGTCTTACTTGTTTTGCAGTGTTGTGGTCAAACTCAGAAGCTAGTAAATCACCAAGCCTCTGAGTTCCACCCCAAGACTAGAAGAATGGAGGCTCTTGAGGGACTCCTGTCATGTATGTGGGGTTTGCTTGTCTTGTTTTTTTTTTGTTGTTGTTGTTGTTGTTAGAATTTTTTGCATATGTTATTCCTATTATTATTATCAGTAGTAGTATTACTGTTTTTTGAGAAGGGACCTTATTATTTATCCCTGACTGGCGTTAAACTCACAGAGATCCAATTCCTCTGCCTCTCAAGTGCTATGATTAAAGGCATGTGCCATCACCTGGCTTATTTTGTTTTATTTTGAAATAGGGTCAGCTGGGTGGTGGGGACACACGCCTTTAATCCCAGCACTTGGGAGGCAGAAGCAGGTGGATCTCTGGGAGTTTGAGGCCAGCCTGGTCTACAAGAGCTAGTTCTGGAACAGGCACCAAAGCTACAGAGAAACCCTGTTTCAAAAAACCAAAACCAAAAAAAAAAAAAAAAAAAAAAAAAAAAAAAAAAAAAAAAAAAAAAAAAAAAAAAAAGAAAAAGAAAAAGAAATAGGGTCTTATGTATCCCAGGCCAGGTTTGTTTTGTAGTTAAGGATGGCCTTGACTTGCCTCCACCTCCCAAATGCTAAAGTAACAGACGTTAAGTTATGGTGCCCTGTTTATGTGTAGAGGACCAAGCCAAGGGCTTTGTGCATGCCAGGCAAGCAGTCTACCACATCCCTAAGCCCTGCTCATGTCCTTCCTTTGACTTGACATTCCTGCTTACTTATCCAGCTCCCTTCTTGTCTGTCTCAGAAGCTTTGAAGCGAAGTCTGGCCACCTATTAGAGCACCTATTAGAGCCGCTCTGTCCGTGAGCAGTTTGTTCTGCTGTTCTTTAGACATGTGCTATGGTACCTTTTCCTTGGAATTGAGAACAGTTCCACTGCAGACAAAGGCAAGTGTCCCAACCACAGACTTGTCCCATGAGTGGTTGCTACCCTCCAGGGCTAAGATGAGATTCTAAGCCATATGACTCAGGTGTGGTAGGAACTTGGGAGCTTGGCCCAGCACTTCCTTGTTTGGTCGGGTCCTCACAGGTCTGTATGCAAAGGTCAATGATCCAGGACTGAGAATCCTGGTCCAGATGAAAGGAATAGGCTACAGAGGTGAGCGAGGCAGTGCCCCCAAGCTGCACATGCATCCTCCGTGACTAGGGTAGACCTGGGGCTGAGGTTAGTCAAACCACGCTGATAGAACTTAGGGAAATGACCTAGGGAATGACCCTCTCATATAGGAGATGATAAGGTTCAAGCAACTCCTGAAAGGTAGTTTGAATTAACTGGAAAAAAGAAACATTTTATGATCATAAAGTTATGGGATGCTAGCCTGTCTGGATATATGAGTCACATGCTTGTCCAGAAAAGCAAAAGATGCTGTATAGTTTTATGGTGACTCTTTAAAAGGAAAAAAGAAAAAGAATTACTTAAAGCAGTAAGGACATGATATTCAAATCCCACACTTGGTGTTTTGTTTGTGGTTGTCTTTGTATACTGTGATGTTGCCTAGTAGATAGAAAATAGGAATAAGAGTCTAGGGTTCTCTGTGACACTCTAATCTCTAGGTTAACTGAAAACTTAGAGACAGAAGTTTTGTTGGTATGAGTAAACACCTGGGTGAACACTATCACACTAAACCCTGATGAAGAAATAAGAAGTGAAATTGGAAGCTCATGGGTAAATATTATTTCTGTCTCACGAGTACAGCAATACTCCTTTTGAAAGGAAGAGAGAATTATATTTTAAAATATAAACAGGCATGGGGTATATAGCTCACAGACAGAACTTGCCTTGCAGTTAGTTCAATTCCATGGGTTCCATCCTCAGAGATACAGGCTTCTCAGTAAGTCTGCAGACATGATCCTAGAGCTCTGGATGCAGCTGTTCCAAGAATTAGAGATGCCTGCATCAGAATCCTGTCCTACAACTTTTAAGCTATGAATAAATGGGAAATTTCCAGAACAAGCCAACAAATGTGTATAGTGGAGCAGCAGGAAGGGTATTACATAACCCAGAATAGCCAGGGGGGCTTACTAGAGAGATGAGGGGGCTCTGGGAACTGGGATTAACATGAGGTGTAGAGGGGAAGAAATGCTGAACTTCAGGCCTCAATGGGATCAACAAGCCATGCCTACATTTGGTGTGAGCCGTCAGGCTGGGGCCTGGCAGTACACAGGAGACCCAAGCCTACATTTGGTGTGAGCCATCAGGCTGGGGCCTGGCAGTACACAGGAGACCCATGCCTACATTTGGTGTGTGGCGTCAGGCTGGGGGCTGGCAGTGCACAGGAGAGCCAAGCCTACATTTGGTGTGAGCCGTCAGGCTGGGGCCTGGCAGTACACAGGAGACCCATGCCTACATTTGGTGTGTGGCGTCAGGCTGGGGGCTGGCAGTGCACAGGAGAGCCAAGCCTACATTTGGTGTGAGCCGTCAGGCTGGGGCCTGGCAGTACACAGGAGACCCATGCCTACATTTGGTGTGTGGCGTCAGGCTGGGGGCTGGCAGTGCACAGGAGAGCCAAGCCTACATTTGGTGTGAGCCGTCAGGCTGGGGCCTGGCAGTACACAGGAGACCCATGCCTACATTTGGTGTGTGGCGTCAGGCTGGGGGCTGGCAGTGCACAGGAGAGCCAAGCCTACATTTGGTGTGAGCCGTCAGGCTGGGGCCTGGCAGTACACAGGAGACCCATGCCTACATTTGGTGTGTGGCGTCAGGCTGGGGGCTGGCAGTGCACAGGAGAGCCAAGCCTACATTTGGTGTGAGCCGTCAGGCTGGGGCTCAGCAGTACACAGGAGATGATGAGTAGGGCACAAGATGAGCTTTGGAGACAGAGCCAGGAGGATTTCCTGATGGACTAGAGGTGGGATGTGGGAGGCAGGCATCCAGGATGACTACAAGGTTCTCAACCTAAGCAGCTAGAAGGAAGGAGTCACCTTAAACTGAAAGGGCAGGTGGGACTGGGAGATCATGAGTTGGGCATGGGACATGTTAAGTTGAGGCAACTGTTAGACATCCATGAGGAAATGTCACGTATGTAGTGAGACAGATGAGTCTGCAGTTGAAAAGACAGGAATTGCAAACTGTCACTGTGCATTATGGTCATCACATCTGAAATGTTGTTCTTTATAAACAGGCCCTCCCTGCTGTAGAGGCAAAGTCTCAGGCAGTCCTTACGGGCCTCAGACTCAGTAGGTAGCTGAGGATGACCTTGAACTTCTCATCTTCCTGTCTCTCCCTCTTTTATGCTGAGATCATAGCATCCATTACCATAGTTTGTGCAGTGCTGGGGATTGAATCCAGGGCTTCATGCATAGTAAGCAAGCATTCTGCCTGTGAACTATAGCCTCTAACCAAGTCTTAGTTAGGGCATCTATTGCTGTGATAGAACTTCATTGTCATTATCAGCCAGCCCTTGCTGTGTAGTCAAAGACGCCCTTGACTTGCTTCTACCTCCCAATTGCTAGATTGACAGCCATAACTACGGTGCCCAGTTTATGTGCAGAGAACCAATCCCAGGACTTTGTGCAAGCCAGGCAAGCAGTCTATCAACTGGGTTTCATCTGCAAGCCCTGCATCTTCCATTCCTTTCTCTTGACAAGAGAAGCACTCCTGGAAGCACCCACCTGGTGTGGGTGTGTGTATTTGCGTGTATGCATGGGTGTGTGCCAGCAGACTGTTTGCCCACTCACCCTTGTTTGCAGCCCCTCTCCCAGAAGCCTTGCGGGGGAACTGTTGGGGAACCGTTCCCCAGGAAGGCCTATCACAAAAGCTAACCTTTACTCTCCAGCAGTTGTTTCTGTCTGTTATTTTATGGACAGGTATTGGAAGACAATCAGCAGAGTTCAGATTGGGCCAGTGAACTTGAGCTGCTAAGTGACACCTCCTATGCCCTTGAAAGTGGAGCAGAGTTCCAGTCTGAGCCCCAGATTCCAAAGCCTTTCCCTGTCACCAAAGCATCACCAAAGTCAGGTAAAGGAGAACCAGTCTGTTTAGAACCTTTTAGAGAGTCACTTATTTCTTATCCGTGTGTGTGCAAGAGTGTCCTTGTGTGGCAGTCAGAGGACAGCTCATGGGAGGTGGTTCTTGGTTCTCTTCTTCCATAGTGTGGGTCTCAGATCTCTAACTCAGCTTATCCATCTAACAGTGCACTAACTGCCGTCCTGATGTGTAGTGATGAGGCAAGCAGGCCTGCATTTTGTCCTGCCCAGCTCCCACACGGCTAGCTTTACACCCAAAATAACAACACACAAATTGTATTCATTTAATCACTGCCTGGCCCATTATCTTCAGTCCCTTATTGGCTAACTACCACATATTGATCTAACCCATTTCTAATATTCTGTGTAGCATCACGTGGTGGCTTACCAGGAAGATTCTAATCTATGTCCATCTTGGGCCGGAGCTTCATGGCATCTGCCTGTCTCTGCTTTCTTCCTCCTACCATTCTGTTCCGTCTTCCCTGCCTACCTGTGTTCTGACCTATCAAGCCAAGCAGTTTTCTTTATTAATTAACCAATGAAAGCAACAGATAGATTGAATACCTTCCTACATCACTGATATTTTCAATGTTAACGCCAGCAGTGTGGTGGTGTGTGCCTATAATCCCAGCACTTGGGAGGTAGAGGCATGAGAATCAGGAGTTTAAGATCAGCATTTCTTGAGACCCTCCTGGACTGAGACACTATCTCAAAAACAAACCAATGAACAAGCACCTATCTCCTGGTGTTCAGGATGTGTAAGGAGGGAACTTGACCTAGGAAGAATGACTTGCTGAGTCATGTGACCAAGAAAAACAAACTGAATAAAATCTTAGTGTTTTTTTTTTGTTTTTTTTATTTTAATTTTTTTTATTAAAATTTCCACTTCCTCCCCTCCTTCCATTTACCTCCCTCCTCCCCCTCCCTCTTCAGTCCTAAGAACAGTCAGGGTTCCCTGCCCTGTGGGAAGTCCAAGGTCCTCCCTCCTTCATCCAGGTCCAGGAAGGTGAGCATCCAAACAGACTAGGCTCTCACAAAGCCAGTCCATGCAGTAGAATCAAAACCCAGCGCCATTGCCCTTGGTTTCTCAGTCAGCCTCCACCATCAGCCACATTCAGAGAATCCGGTTTGATCACATGCTCATTCAGTCCCAGTCCAGCTGGCCTTGGTGAGCTCCCGTTAGATCAGTCCCACCGTCTCTGTGGGTAGATACACCCTCGCGGTCCTGACTTCCTTGCTCATGTTCTCACTCCTGCTCTTCATCTGGATCTTGGGAGCTCAGTCCAGTGCTCCAGTGTGGGTCTCTGTCTCTATCTCCATCCATCGCCAGATGAAGGTTCTATGGTGATATGCAAGATATTCATCAGTGTGGCTATAGGATAAGGCCAGTTCAGGCACCCTCTTCTCTGCTGCCCAAGGAGCTAACTGGGGACATCTCCTTGGAAACCTGGGAACCCCTCTAGAGTCAAGTCTCTTGCCAACCCTAAAATGGCTCCCTTAATTAAGATATCTACTTCCCTGTTCCCATATCTACCCTTCCTCCATCTCAACCATTCCATTCCCCCAGCTTTCCCCAGTCCTCCCCTTCTCCCTTCTCTTTCCCCATCTTCCCTTACCCCTACCCCCCACCCCTGTGCTCCCAACTTTTGCCTCTCAATCTTGTCTACTTCCAATATCCAGGAGGATAACTATATGTTTTTCTTTGTGTTCACCTTCTTATTTAGCTTCTCTAGGATCACGAATTATAGGCTCAATGTCCTTTATTTATGGCTAGAATCCACTTATGAATGAATACATACCATATTCATCTTTTTGGGTCTGGGTTATCTCACTCAGTAAAGTGTTTTCTATTTCCTTCCATTTGCATGCAAAATTCAAGATGTCTTAGTATATTTTTTAAAAAGGTATTTTGGGGACTGGAGAAATGACTCAGTGGTTAAGAAAGAATCCTGCTGCTCTTCCAGAAGATCCAGGTTCAATTCCCAGCACCCACATGGTCGCTCACATCCTCTATAATTCGAGTTCTAGGGGATCTGATGTCTTCTTCTAGCCTGTGTAGGCACCAGGCACACTGGTGGTATATACACACGTTCAGACATACTTGCACAGAAATAAAGAAGAAAATCTTTTAAAAAATTATTTTGAGAGCTATCTTTTAGTTTTTACACTAATTATAAATACCATTCAATATAAAACTATAAAATGCAGAGTTACAAAGAAGACAAAGCACCAGCTGCCATCCCACTCAGATATAACTACTACTGCCATAGGTAATCATCCAGAAAGCCTTTTATTCTATAATATTAGAGAGAGAGGCAAGATCGTATGTGCACATAATTCAAATGTCTCTTCATGCTGCTATAATAAAGAGAGCGAAGTGTAGTCTACTGTCCTCACAAAATGTTCTGTTCATTTTCAACATCCATTTAATATTATATCTTAATATAATTCAAATGTTACATATTAATCTAAACCAAAACAAAAAATCATAAAAATGAATGCAGAATCAGAAAGAAAATGAAATAGGACTCAAGAAATCAACCCAGAAGGAGAGAGGAGACAGGACAGAGGTTCAGAAGGTAGTGACAGAGCCCAGAGTCAGCGGGATGTCCATCCACAGACGTTTTACTAGAGCAGAGCCCGTCATCAGTCTAGTGTAGCACAGGCCACAGTGACCACCCAGGCGTGTGTGCAAGTGTGAGTATGCAAGCTTGGTGTGTGTATGTGTATTTGTGTTTGTGTGCATGCCTGTGTGTGTGTGTTCAGTAAACACATGTGGAGCTCAGAGGACAACTTTCAGGTGTCCGATTCTCCCTTCCACCATGTGGGTCCTGATTATTGAACTTAGGTTATCAGAGTTGATGGCCAGTGCCTTAGCCTGCTGAGCTAGCTCCCTGGTCCCACAGTGCTAACTTTGTAACTACTGTTCCAAATCAGAAATTTGATCCCTGAAAAGGAGGAGGGAGGCAGCTAATCCTGCTCCTCCCTAGTTAAATGCCTGCTTGCCATTCGTCCGTGTGTCTGGAAAGACCTCATGCTTACCACTGCAGCTCTGTGTGCTTTTGGAACAGTAGCTCACTATGCTGCCTAGCCTGGCCTCTGACTCAACCTTCCTACCCTACCCTTGCTGATGCTAGAAACACAGATCTGTACTACCACACTTGATCAGTGTGACATCGTGATTTCTTTGCCATCTCCTTTGTCTTGGCAAATGTCTTCATTCCTGTTGCATTTGCCAGAACCATGCTTGTTTTCTTCAATTAGCTTATACCAGCCACCACTAAGCTCTTCTGATTCTGCCTTCAAGTCTGCCTCGAACCTGACCACTCTTCCCCATCTGTAGTGAAGTGCTTTGCTCCTGTCCAGCTCCTGTCCTGACTGTCCTGGAAGAGAGACTGCCTGTTTCCATCCCAACGCTCCGTAATTTCATCCCTCTGCTGTGGGCGGTCTAGTATTAAGCACAGGAGTGAGGCCATGTTGCCCTCACATTAAAACTCCCTAAACTTCTCTCCTTACCTAGAGTGAAATCCAGAGTATAGATCCTGAGCTCGGAAGTGTGGTTTCCACACTCTGCATTATAAGCTGCCACTTTCCCTCACTTGTAAGCCCCTCTCACGCACACACACACACACACACACACACACACACACACACACACACAAATCCACACACACTTTTTCACTGCTGTTGGCATGTTGGGATTTCCCCTCAAAGTAGAATTCGTGATCTTTCTGCTCAAATACCACCTTCTTAGAGGGGACTTTCTGACCACCCACTCAAAAGAGCCATCTTGCCTCTCCTCCCCTTGGATGTCTTTGGATGCTCCTGCATTGCCATTTTTCTGAATAGCACCTTTCTCTGTCCTTTGTAATTTTTGTTCATTGCTCTTAGGCGAGAGTAAATCGCAGGAAAGGTGAGACCTTGTTCACTGTCATTTCCCCAGCCCTCGGGGAGTGGCACAGCGTGAGATCCATCCCTGTCTGTAGAGTAGACTGTGTCCGCTAGAGGGTACATGGAAGGTGGGTTGGGTGGGAGAAAGTGCTGCCTCCTTCTCGGGTTCTAGGTCTTCAAGCAAAGGACTTTCACTTTTCTTTGTAATTGTTTATCCTTTTATTTTAAAAATAGTTTGTTTTGGCTATCTACAAATTTGTATCTCTTTTCAGGCTCTCAATCCACCCCACTTCCACAGATAACCTAGTTATCTAGTTATTTTTAGCCTGGCTCCCTTCTAAAGCTTTTGTTGGCCTTCACTGCTGGATTGTTTATACAGAGTGAATCAGTTATAATCTATTTTGAATGCCCCTTGATTTGTTATTCATTTTTAAAAATCTTCTTTGTTTGTAAAGAAGCCCCAGATGTCTGTTCTGGATCTGTTGATGGAGTGGAATACTCAGAGTGGAAGGAGAAGGGTGTCCTGAAGATGACTGTACCCAGGACCCTGGCTCTCTGCTCTCTGTCCTTGCTCTGGCAGAGAGAAACCATTACTCTCTCTGACCTTCTGAGGTGAGTGGAACTTCCTTCCTGATTGTTTTTCCATGATCATCTGTGTGAACTTCGGAACAGCCTTTGGATATTCTTAATTTTACAAGAAAGCCTATAGTGAAGAAAGGCATGGAAAACTTGGGTAGTACATGGGTTACTTTTCTCTTTGTGACTAAGAACTGATGAAAACAACTAACTTAGAAGAGGAAAGATTTGTGTTGGCTTGTGGTGTAAGGGGATGCAGGCCGCCATCTTGGTGATGGGCGGTGGCTTACTCATATCATTGACTAGAGGAAGGGATGTCGCTGTCCTTACTCCATTTGGACCAGGACCCTAGCCCGTGGGGTGCCAACTGCATACCCAGTGGGTTCTCCCATAGTTAAGCCTCTCCGGGACTATTTTCTCAGATACACATGAGGTAAATGTGTCTCCTGGGTGAGTCCAATCCAGTCAGACTGACAGTGACAGTTAATCATTGTGTGGAACTTGGGTTCAAATTCCTAAGTTAATCATCTTTAAGTCTAATAATTTGAGTTTTTAATGATATGATGAGAATTGTAGTGTTCCCCTCATATGAGATATTAGAAAGTTAATTATCTAATGTGAATAAAATACTTTGAAGAGAAAAATGACATTAATATTCCTGTGCAGACTTAAATATTTTTCTAGGAAAAGATGGACAGGGGATCTTTTACTAAGAAAATGACTATTAGTATTTGTATAAAACTATGTATTGTGGTTGTAAAAGCTAAAATATAGGCAGCCTGTTTATTAGAAAAGTTGATTTCAGTATTATAGAAAGATCTTTTTATGCAGTAGTAGACATTTGCATATTTTGAGGTAGTCTAGACAGTTTTAGACAGACTGACCAAAGGAAGTGCATGCTTGAGCTACAGCCAACTCCACTGTACTAATGAGCTGAGCGTAGAAGAATCAGTCACTTACCAGGCAGACCAAAGTCATTAATGTGTTCATTTCTCCTTTGCTTTATATGCGTTCTGAATAATACATTGGGTTTAATCAGTGTACGGAATGCTTACAAGGGCACAAGTTTGAAGCCAAACTCTGACTCTGCCAGTTTGTTGTCACATGACATCACACTAAGCAAGTCAGGAAATGTCTGTTTTTGCTTCCTTAGGTGAATGGGTCTGTAATAAAATGCACCTTAGGGCTCCAGCTGCTCAGCCCTTGGCCCCACATCACAGTTGGAGCATCTGATCTGAAGCGTCGCTAGAGCTCTGGCTCGCCGTGCTTGTTCAGCGCTCCTCATCACCATCATCATTATTGGCGCTTGGCCCTTTTATTAGATAGCATGCTTCTAGTAAATGGCGGTGGTGCCTTTGATTTTGGACATTAACCAAATAACAAAGCTTTTCTGGGTGTGAGCAGCTGCACATAGACCACTCGTGATTCTCTGAGTTGAGGATTGCCTTGCTTTGTGCCCTCACTAGATGACATCATCTTCTCCCAAGACTCTAATTATTGTCTATATGCTGAAGACTCCTGACTCTGTTACCAGCCCAGACTTGTCTAGTGAGGGCCAGACCCGTCTGTTCATCTGTAGAGCTCACTGGACATGACTACTTGATGTCTTTATGGTTGAATCAGTATGACTAGGAAGTGCCTCAGCATCTGTCTCCTTGACCCTGCCCTTCTCCAGTGCTCTTAGCACATGCGGTGGACCCTGGTGTTCTGTCAGGAAACTGAGGGCTGTTCCTGGGCTCTCTCCTCACTCGACACACGCGCCAGTCATTATGTTCTGTCTCTTCTACTTCCCGAAGCCCCGGAACCCGTCCTTCCCTCCATGCCTCACCTCACCTGGGTGCTTGCTCATTTCCCAGCTGAGCTCTCTGTCTGCAGTCTTGTGATTCCTCTCCATCTTCTGCTGATAACCAGAGGGTCTTTCAGGAAGATTCCTAATCATGAGAACTGAATGGTATCTTCCGAGCTGAGTCAAGGGACCAGCTGTCCCAGGGCAATCTGTACGGGCAGCAGAACTCTCCCAGAAACTTAGCAAATGAAAAGAAAATATCTTTCTGCAGTTCTTAGAGAAAACACTGTGTGCTGTATGGACAGTCCCAGTCCTGAGTTCCTCCCGTGCTCATCACCACCCTTCGCTCTGACTCTCCTCCCCCGCAGAGGGCAATTCTTTTTTTTTTTTATATGGGCAACTGATTTTTTTATTTTTATATTTATTTATTTATTATGTATACAATATTCTGTCTTTGTGTATCTCTGCAGGCCAGAAGAGGGCACCAGATCTCATTACAGGTAGTTGTGAGCCACCATGTGGTTGCTGGGAATTGAACTCAGGACCTTTGGAAGGGCAGGCAGCAGCTTCCATAGGCCTCAGGATTAGTTCCTATTCCTTCACATTAGCCATAAAGGACCCTCCTGCTAGCAGTAATGATAGAAAGTAACAACAGCCAACATTTACAGTACACATACTTATTGAGTATCTGCTGTACTCACAGAATGGCCGAGGGTTTAGACCCTTGAGGTACATACAGCTGAGAGAAGTGTGTCAAGTCCCTGCTCTCGTGAAATTGAAGATGAGAGGGAGAAACAGATGGACGTAAATAAAGGGGAAAATGATCGGCCAGGCAAGTGCAGAGCACAGGCTGAACTCGGACACTGTAAGGGTATGACTGAATGGCTGCTTTAGATTGGTATAGAGGGATTTGAGCTGCACTTTGAACGAAAGAGCAGCCAACCCGTGAAGATCCCAGTATTTCAGGTAGCGAGGGCCACCCTTGTTAGCGCCAAGCTCTGAGCAGGAGTGGACTCTGTCTGATCAAGGAAGTGAGGAGTGGGCCTGGAAGAAGAGAGCTGATTGAAGGGCGGAGGACTGAGGTGAGCAGGACAGAGGTGTGTCTTTGTAAGCCATGCTAAGGTGGAATTTTTCCCCCTTGAAAAAAATTCTTTGTCACTTTCATACGTGTATATAATAAATTTTAGTTGTTGTTACCTTTAGTTCTCCTCTCATTACCCTTAATTTAAAAATTTTGAAACATAATTTACATATATAAAATTCTCAACCATTTTAAAAATGTGCCACTCCTAAGGCCTGGAGAGGTGACTCGGTGGTGATTAAGTCACTTCCTGCTCTCTCAGAGAGCCTGAGTTCAGTTCCCAGCATTCCCATGGCTTTCCCATCTTGTCTATAAAGTCCAGCTCCAGGGAATCCAGTGCCCTCTTCTGGCCTCCATGATACCAAGCACACATGTGTTACATATACAGATGTGCAGGAAAGTACTCGTGCATAGAATAATAAATAAATCTCTAAAAAGATATACAATTTATACTCAGCCTGATGGTCCAAGCCTTTAATCCTCTGACTCAGCAGACAGAGGCAGACAGAAGTGTGAAGTGTGTTCCAGGTGTGCCAGGGCTACTTAGTGAGACCATCTCACATTACAAAACAGAACAAAAGGTAAAATGCAGTTCATTGGTTTTCTATATGTCCAGAAATACACAGCCATCACTTTGATACACTTCCAGGACATACTTTATCACCGCAGAAATAGCCCTGCACCCATTAGGACTTTGGTTTTAGGTGCTATAATGAGTAGTGGGAAGATTTCAGCCAGAGAGACCATCTGAGCTGTGTTCATAAAGGGTCACTTGCGCAGCCATGTGGAAATGGTATCCTGTGCAGGGAGGCAAGTGGTCTGTGCTTTCGACAGGAAGTGCTGGCCTGGATAAAGCTGGTGGATAGAGAAACGGAAAGGATTGACGGGACAGGACTGTTGCACAGTGCACACAGCTCCAATGTGGCGCAGCTTTAATGATCTGCAACCTCTGGCGGCTTGTTAAAGCCCAGTGTGTCTCAAATCAAAGCTTCCGAAAGCTGCAGTAAAAGTATGGGCAGAGAGCATTTCTAGGAGCTGCTAACGTGCTCTGTTGGGTGGGAGAGGGTGCAGGACACTTTCATTTGATGCCAGTTCCTTTGTCAACAAATTCCTGGATTGCTCCAAATAGCCAGCTGTTCATCCCCGCTAAGGATCCAGTAGCCAGCTGTTAATTCCTGCTAAGGATCCAGATAGCCAGCTGTTAGTCCCCGCTAAGGATGCAGATAGCCAGCTGTTAATCCCCGCTAAGGGAAAAAGTGTGTTCGAATTTTGACCGAGCTGCCATCCATTTGAGGAAAAAAAGCTTTTCTAAAAGAAATTTCAAATTCTAAAGTAAGACGTTGAGAAGACTACAGGCAGTGAGTCATTGTTAAAACCCCATACACCCCAACGCCTGCTCTGGGGACATCTCTGCTTCCCCAATTTTCATTTCTCTCTCCTGCCTCTCCTGCACAGACACACCTCTCTAGCGCACTGTGGTCATGTGACTGCTGCCCTGGAGAGTGGGTGGTCTCTCCATCTCCTGTTACTACCTTACTTTCAGCACTGGGCACACTGATAGCATGTGTTCTCACCTTTATTGTACATATAATTGCATATTTTATGTATATATCATATTACAGTTGTATATATATCAAAGACTAAATAAGTGATGTGTATGTTAACATTTGGAAGTGTAGGTGGTTTTTCAAGGGATAGGTATGTTTTATATCATGTATATAATAATATTAAGCCAGTAATGTAGTCTACTATGCACAGATACTTTATATAAACTAAAACAATCAATGAAAACCCAGCTGGGAGAGGTTTTTGTCCATTCGTACCTTAAATGTTTAATTCTTAAGTTTCAGTACTAAAAGAAATCACATTTTAATTTTGAAATTAAGTTTAGGTCAACACTTTCTTTTTTTAGGAAGTTGGCAACAATGGAGGCCAAGGCAGTGCATTCTGGGTGCTTATTCCCAACTGGGTCTGAGTTCCTTTGATACTTTGTTTAGGACTTTGCACACCAGACCTCTCTCCTGCTCTCTCTCGCTCTCTTCTTTGTTTTTAGCACATTGTAGACTTGTTGACTGACTGCCCGCGTTTCCTCTTCTCAGTAGAACTCGAGCTCGGCAGGAACAGAAATTTGGCCTATTTGGGTCACTGCTGTTTTCCCATAGTGCTAGTGCTATGTTGTACCCCACAACTTTGACTTGATGAGTGGAATGTCAATAAGTGTTTTGATCCATTTTTAAATGTCTGGAGTTTAAATGCTTGGCCTCCTGCTGTATACAAGGCATTGGGACAGAAACCTTAATAGTTTTCCATCAGCTAGTGCGCTCTTGGCTAGGTCCTAAGGACAGAAGGGAGGACAAGGAAATGGGGACCAAGGAAGAACTTCCTGTAGAAGGGATTCACAGTGACGGAGCTAGTCCAGTGATGGCAGCAGACATGAAAGGAGTGATCTGGGAGCCTGGTGGTGAGTGGGAAAATACACCCTTCTCAGACACACTTATCGAATTAGTTAGAGTTAGGCACTCTGCAGACCATCAGCCGACTGCTCTCCTACAGGGTGCAGGGGACAGCAGCTTTCTCCTTTAAAATATGCAGGAGATAGGATCTGCTGCACAAACTACCCCTTCCCTTGTGAGGGGGGAGGTTTTCAGAAAGTTTACCCAGAGCCAGTGTGCAGCTCTCATCGAGACTCCTTTTTGTAAAGCACAGGTTTGTTGAAGAGGACCGCATTCCATACAGAAATGCTTTTCAGCTTTTTCCAGAAGAGATGAAAGTCTATGGTCGCGATAAAGGCATCTTTGCTATCGAGGTAAGTTGTTCCTTTGTACAGTTGTTTCTACGGTCTCTGGTGCAATATTTGATTCTGTGATTTTCTAACATGTCCAAAATCTAGTTTCAGTAGATTTTCATGAAGAGTAGATGTACTCTTTTTTAAAATGTGTTCATGTGACTGCTCTGAAGAAGATGTGGGTCTTTCACTGATCACATGACTGCGTAGGAGGAAGAAAGTCATCGCTTGTGCCAGGCGGCGTTGGTTCAAGTTTTCTCCTTATGTTAGTTTACCTGCTGGCCTTGAATTCACCATCTCTCAGCCTCGCCTGCTGAGATAAATTACAGGCACGACCACAGCCCTGGCCTCCTTTGTCTCTTTCTAGACTACTGCATTGGACATGTTTCTGTCCTTCAACTGTGCATCTCTGTTACATTAGAGTACTCAAAGGGTACATCCCATTCTTCTTCATTAGATGTTTATAAGTATGCTAAGTATTAATAGGAAATGCTTTCTTCCATTTTCCACAGAAGGAATTACTGTGCTAGGCTTTTATGGCCTCTGTGGCCATGGCACTGTTTGCAGTGTAAGAGACTTGTGTGGAAGGCTTGCCAGTGGTTTCTGACTCTAGTAATGCTTGTGGCACCTTATTAAAGACAGCACAGTATATATCACAGTGACATGAAGGCTGAAGCAGTGTACCTTTTCCACAGCCTTATATAACAGGTAGATCATGAGGCCTGGGTCTAGGCTGCATCTCCCATGTTAGCCGTCTTCTGCGCCATGACGGTTTGTCAGTCTTTGGTGAAAATAACAGCTAGACAGGTCACAGGTCTTAAGCACTGGACAATAGTGTCCCAGATCCCCAATAACTTGGGTCTTGAGAAATTGACCAAGTGAACAGTACAATGAGAAGTACTTATTTATTATTTTAAAAAAAAGGCGAAACAACAGCCACAGAAACTTTCCAGAACTTCCGATAAAAACAGTGAGTCTGAAGCATTTTTTTTTACCTGAGGTTGCTCCTGCCTGTCACCCACTTAGTCCCAGCTGTGGGATGGTGCTGCCAGGGTGTGACTGTTACCATCAGCTTCATTGTGGAGAGAAGCAGAGGCCAGGTGAGAGAGAAAGTTCCACAGGGAATGTGATTGACTGCTGATGGACAAAGCAGAAGAGCCTTAGTTATTATGGGTACAGCACAGATTCTGAGCAAATGTTTCTCCTAATGTCACCACAGGTGGGGAGATTGGCATCCAAAGTTGAGAAACAGAGCCACATGTGTCTGTCTTTCTGTCTGTCTATTATCCATCTATCATCTATTCTGTTTTTGTTAGTTTCTTTATTATTGTTCAATCTTTCAAAAGTAGGTAGTGTCCCTTTCTTCAGAAATAGAATTTGAGGGGCTAGAGAGATAGCTCAGTGGTTAAGAACACTGGCTGTTCTTCCAAGGGCCCAGGTTCAATTCCCAGCACCCACATGGCAGCTCACAAATATCTGTAACTTCAGTTCCAGGGGATCTGATACCCTCACACCAATGCACATAAAGTTAAATAACGTGACTGTTCCTGGTAGTGATTGCATTTATTAGTTATACAGTGCAACCGCAGACGGTCACATACATCAAAACAGTTGGTCCTGCTGACAGAGTCTGTATAGTTATCAGATTTCCTGTGCAATGGCTCCATACATAAATATTATAAAACTTTCTAGGGATTTTCAAGACAGGATTTCTCTGTGTTACAGTCCTGACTGTTCTGGAACTTGCTTTATAAACTAGGCTGATTTTGAGCTCACAGAGATCTGTCTGTGCCTCCCAAGTGCCAGGATTAAAGGTACACACCACAAAAAAATAAATAAATAAATTCAATAAATAAATAATAAAGTTAAATTTTTAAAAAGAAAAGAAATAGAATTTGAGGCATGAGAAATAAAAAAGATTAGCGTAGCATGAATTCTAATTGATCTTAATAATAAAAACCCAAAGTCAGATATAAAGGGGTGAAAGCCGAAAGATCAGAGAAGCAGAACAGCCGGCCACTAGTTCTTACCTCTACAAAATCCTCAGAACCAAGATCCTGTCTCTATGAATTCTCAGCCTTGAGCTCCTGGTTTATATTCCTCTCTCCCAGCCAGCCATATCCCTCCATCTCTCCATCTCCCTAGTGCTAGGATTAAAAAGGTGTGTGACTCCCAAGTGCTGGGATTAAAAAGGTGTGAGCTGCCACCTCCTGGCTCTGTTTTTCTTTGAAACTGGGTCAGTTTAGTGTAGCCCAGGGTGGCCTTGAACTCACAGAGATCCACCTGCCTCTGCCTCCTGAGTGCTGGGATTAAAGGTGTGTACCACCAGTCCCTGGGCTCTATGGCTAAGTAGTAACTAGCTCTACACTCTGATCTTCAGGCAAGTTTTATTTATTAGATCATAAACAAAATATCGCTACAGATTAGAACCAAATAATCTAAGAATTTTTTTTCTCCTTGGCTGGTTAATTCTCTTAGAAAATATTTTACCTTTTTTTCTGTCACAAGTAAGTAGGTTATCTAAATAATTCATAATTTGATAGTACATGATGGGGAACACCTTTTCATCATGTTTATTATCAAAAGATTAGTGAGGGAGAAAGTCAGTATGATGCAGACTGTGCAAGTGGTGTAACTTCAGAAATACATTTCTGTTTGAGGACACTGTAATACAAAAGTCGTCAGCATTGATATCATACATATAGTATTTGAAAAATGTTCCAGTATTCACCTTGTCTCTGAAATTAATTAGAGGAACTGATTGCAGTCCAGTGCCAAATCAGGGTCTAACAGGACCAGTGTGCCCACAGGTGTAACAGAACCATATTGTACCCACAGGTGTAACAGGACCATAGTGTACCCACAGGTGTAACAGAACCATAGTGTACCCACAGGTGTAACAGGACTATAGTATGCCCACAGGTGTAATAGGACCATAGTGTGCCCACAGGTGTAACAGGACCATAGTGTGCCCACAGGTGTAACAGGACCATAGTGTGCCCACAGGTGTAACAGGACCATAGTGTGTCCACAGGTGTAACAGGACCATAGTGTGCCCACAGGTGTAACAGGACCATAGTGTGCCCACAGGTGTAACAGGACCATAGTGTGTCCACAGGTGTAACAGGACCATAGTGTGCCCACAGGTGTAACAGAACCATAGTGTGCCCACAGGTGTAACAGGACCATAGTGTGTCCACAGGTGTAACAGGACCATAGTGTGTCCACAGGTGTAACAGGACCATAGTGTGCCCACAGGTGTAACAGGACCATAGTGTGCCCACAGGTGTAACAGGACCATAGTGTGTCCACAGGTGTAACAGGACCATAGTGTGCCCACAGGTGTAACAGGACCATAGTGTGCCCACAGGTGTAACAGGACCATAGTGTGTCCACAGGTGTAACAGGACCATAGTGTGCCCACAGGTGTAACAGGACCATAGTGTGCCCACAGGTGTAACAGGACCATAGTGTGTCCACAGGTGTAACAGGACCATAGTGTGCCCACAGGTGTAACAGGACCATAGTGTGCCCACAGGTGTAACAGGACCATAGTGTGTCCACAGGTGTAACAGGACCATAGTGTGCCCACAGGTGTAACAGAACCATAGTGTGCCCACAGGTGTAACAGGACCATAGTGTGTCCACAGGTGTAACAGGACCATAGTGTGTCCACAGGTGTAACAGGACCATAGTGTGCCCACAGGTGTAACAGGACCATAGTGTGCCCACAGGTGTAACAGGACCATAGTGTGTCCACAGGTGTAACAGGACCATAGTGTGCCCACAGGTGTAACAGGACCATAGTGTGCCCACAGGTGTAACAGGACCATAGTGTGTCCACAGGTGTAACAGGACCATAGTGTGCCCACAGGTGTAACAGGACCATAGTGTGCCCACAGGTGTAACAGGACCATAGTGTGTCCACAGGTGTAACAGGACCATAGTGTGCCCACAGGTGTAACAGGACCATAGTGTGCCCACAGGTGTAACAGGACCATAGTGTGTCCACAGGTGTAACAGGACCATAGTGTGCCCACAGGTGTAACAGAACCATAGTGTGCCCACAGGTGTAACAGGACCATAGTGTGTCCACAGGTGTAACAGGACCATAGTGTGTCCACAGGTGTAACAGGACCATAGTGTGCCCACAGGTGTAACAGGACCATAGTGTGCCCACAGGTGTAACAGGACCATAGTGTGTCCACAGGTGTAACAGGACCATAGTGTGCCCACAGGTGTAACAGGACCATAGTGTGCCCACAGGTGTAACAGGACCATAGTGTGTCCACAGGTGTAACAGGACCATAGTGTGCCCACAGGTGTAACAGGACCATAGTGTGCCCACAGGTGTAACAGGACCATAGTGTGTCCACAGGTGTAACAGGACCATAGTGTGCCCACAGGTGTAACAGGACCATAGTGTGCCCACAGGTGTAACAGGACCATAGTGTGTCCACAGGTGTAACAGGACCATAGTGTGCCCACAGGTGTAACAGAACCATAGTGTGCCCACAGGTGTAACAGGACCATAGTGTGTCCACAGGTGTAACAGGACCATAGTGTGTCCACAGGTGTAACAGGACCATAGTGTGCCCACAGGTGTAACAGGACCATAGTGTGCCCACAGGTGTAACAGGACCATAGTGTGTCCACAGGTGTAACAGGACCATAGTGTGCCCACAGGTGTAACAGGACCATAGTGTGCCCACAGGTGTAACAGGACCATAGTGTGTCCACAGGTGTAACAGGACCATAGTGTGCCCACAGGTGTAACAGGACCATAGTGTGCCCACAGGTGTAACAGGACCATAGTGTGTCCACAGGTGTAACAGGACCATAGTGTGCCCACAGGTGTAACAGGACCATAGTGTGCCCACAGGTGTAACAGGACCATAGTGTGTCCACAGGTGTAACAGGACCATAGTGTGCCCACAGGTGTAACAGAACCATAGTGTGCCCACAGGTGTAACAGGACCATAGTGTGTCCACAGGTGTAACAGGACCATAGTGTGTCCACA